AGATATTTCATTTACTAAAATAATGTCACAGCAACTACAACATAAAGGTATTGTTATATTACCAAAGAAATGAAGAATGCAATAAACAAAATATATCATTGATCCTATTACAAATGTAAATGATAGCAGCGGATGAAGGTGAGAAGTCCTGGGCTCTGCTATTCATCTTGCAAAATTGTATAGGGACTAGCTCTATCAACTGGGCCCAACAGAGTAGGTTTTACCTGATGGCGGAGACAGATTCTAGTCTCCAAAACATGTTATAACAAAAATTCAAGATGACAGACAATGTATACGAACCTCACTGTTTTATCATATAATGAAGATTAAAAGATTGTTGGGAATATTGTTCATAGGGAGGAAAGGTTTTGCAGTGTAACCATTAAATAGTACTGACAGACCTTACCATGTTGTTTCATACAATAACAGATGTTAATAAAATGTAATTTTGTGCGTTTCATTACATATATTTTACTGATAAACATTTTTTATGTTAAGTAAGAACCTTTCAGCATGTTTTGGTCGGTCATTTTTCTGTTAAATAATTTTGCATGTTTATTATTTAATAATTCAAACAATGGATAAGTGTCAGTCAACTGTGTTGGACAGCAATACAGTACGGTATTTCATTCTTACACATGGAATGTATTCTTTCTTCTTTGTATTTCTCACATTAAGCACACTGAATCATATAAATACCAAACATAACAAATTTACATTGGCTTAAGATGACTTGCCTTCTGGAATGCTGAGCCATGTGTGGTCTGGTAAAAATGGACTGACAATTTAGAGGTGCTTAGTGTCTCCACCAACAGGACTACGAGAAATCCTTGAAAAAGATTAAGGAGAGAGACAATACTGAAGCGTAGCCAGACCAGTCGATTAGAGGGGAGGGCAGATTAAGCAAGGGAGCCAATGGGGACCATAGCCTGGTCACGGGGGTGGGAGAGGAACAAACAAGATTGAATGATGGAAGTAGACAGGAAAATACAAGATTTGAACCTTTCGCAGGGACGTAACTCATTAAAATCTTCTTGGGTGATCAGCCCTGATGATGGGGACAGAGATGGTCCCTGAAACATCAGTTTCTTCTTCTAACCAGTTGACACAGCTCTTGCCGGAGAAGATTTTATTGAGGGAAATACAACATTGATTTACACCTAAATGGGTATTGGAAACATCAGTCAATTTATAAAGTGAAGCTTTCGCGGCGAACGAAGTTGATGAAAGACTCTCGGGCCACAAGCCGCGTCAGGTGGCTGAATGGTGAATGAACCATGTCTTCCACCGGGCCTTTTATCCTGTGACAAAACTGCTGTCTGCCCGGAAGGCCGAGCCAGCGAGAGCGAGCACTTGACCTTGTCTGCCAGTTCCTACTGGTCAGCGCTAAACAAAGCAACAGACAGGCCACCAGCAACATGATGCTACTACCTGCTGTCCGCTGCCAGTTCCCATTGGCGAGCGCGCTACATAGGACCAGTTTCGTTTCGCAGCTGCCCTGAGGATGAGAGCAGAGATGGCTTTCGAAACGTTGGCGGAAGAAATGGTTCATTCACCATTCAGCCACCTGACGTGGCTTGTTGCCCAGGAGTCTTTTATCATCAGTCAATTTGTACGAAATAACATAGTACAACATCTCAGAAGACAGTCATCTTCACGCTCACAGCTACGAGAACCTTAAATGTCACTTACCCTGGCTTGATCTATTTCTTCCACTGTAGGCTTACGTGGCGCTTTCTTCCCGGTATGCCCTATCCTCTCTAGCCTTTTGCAGCTTACCGTTGCATAATGGCTAATTTGTACATGGATTGGCCATTTGCCAACCTCAGGGAAGTCAAATCCTGGATCTCTGTGCCTGTTCATGTAACCATCCAGGTAAGGTTGAAACTTTGGAGAAGGAGGGAAAAAGGCCAGGCAAATTGCCAGCAATTCCCAGCCTCGACGAAGACTTTCCCTGTGCAAGGAAAAAGGATTTGAAAATGTTGCTGCACCAGACATACGAAAATCCTAAGCTCAAAATAAGATATGTGGAAACAGTTTCAATCTAAAAATATCTATGAACTTCAATAGACTGCTTTGTTTGTCAATGACTACATAATTATGATGCAGTAACCATAAAACAAAGACAAATGAGATTATGCTTCAGACCTTCCAGCAACATAATAATGAAATTGTTGATACAGACAATAAAAATTAATATTTATACTAATTCAGTGAAATACAATTATATCTGACACATTTCAGCACCACGCCACATTTCATTGTTTAACACAGTGTAACGATAATATAATGCACTTTGGTGACCAAGCTGGGAAATGTGATGGTTTCTTTGACAGTCATAAAACTGATTTTCTTTCATGTTTTTAAAAAGAGAAATGGTACAATGAGCCTGTAAGGTTTGAAGTGTCTGTCTAACCACATGTCACAACTCAAGAACTGAAAGGATTTTTCTGAAATTTAATACTGGAAAGTTTCAGTAAAATTTGTCAATTTATTCCAGTTAAAATCAGACAATAATACGAGGTACTTTACATAAATACCTGCCTGTATTTCCACACACAACTCAAGCATAACCCACTAAATACATATTGGAGCTAAATCTGCTTTGTAAACATTTAAAAGAAACTTGAACATATCTTATGCCCAGTATACTACACACTATTTTGACAAGTTTTATAGATTTATAGGCAATTAAACAAAAGGAGCTCTTATGCTGTAAAACTCAATAATTGAACTGGTTTTGAAAACATTTTATATTGTAGGTCCTTGCTTGCCTATATGAACAGTTTCACATTACTTACAAGAGTGCATGAAAGTTTAGCTCTGAGAATTGAAGATCCAGAGGAAATAACAGAGAATATGTGCCAGAACTCTAATTCTATGCAACACTTCCTAATATATCTAATAAAATTAGCACGTATCATAAATTACATTTACATCATAACTATTGACACTATTAACATCTAATATGATTTCAATCATTCAAGCTGGCAGCTTGAGAGGTTACATGCATCAAGAAGACCTTTAACAGTGGTATCCCAAGTATGTGCTCAGGCACCAAGGCAAATAATCACAGTTGCACAATCTACTGGATTTTTGTTGTATTATTTCGACCAAGAGACCGTGAAACATTTTACTTCCCATTTCTTCCGTGTTCATTCATGCATGTGACTGCACTAGTTATTTCCTTTGCAATGTTTCAACACCCATGCTGTATCAACCAGTAAGCAACATGGCACATCCTAACCTTTTGTGTGGTCTGAATTTGGAAAAAATATAAATTTTACAGAAACCTGTAAACACAACCATCAAAATTTGTGACCATGGAGTGAATTAGATAGTGATAAAGACAAAATGAGTGTTGTGGTTAAAAACCATCAGGTAGTGAGTAACGTGAAGCAGATATTGTGACACAGATATCCACTGAAGCTCACAATAAAACCTGAGAAATCAGGCAGTGTCAACAAAAAGATTTATAATACTTTTCTGTAAATTCAGCAGTCTCTTTCAAAATGCTAGTATAAATAATTTATTACAGAATTCAGATCCTTATGTTTACATTCCATTAGACTAAAGCATACAAATGAAGGAGGGAGAGTGTAGAATTTTCATTTACGTATTTTTAGTTATTTAATTATGCTTTTTCAGTAGCTCAGATAATACAGCATCAAATGAGATGACAGTGAACAATGAATCAGAAAGGATGTGGAAGGAAGCACTGGTATTTATCTGGAGGGACTGAGGAAAACCACAAAAACCTCAGTCAGGATAGCTGGTCTCTGAGCCATGATTTGAACCCGGGACCTCCTTTATATGAAACAGGAGTGTTAACCACTTCACCATGCAGTTCAGTGTTTCATGCAGAAGGAAAGGGAGATACTGACATTGATAGCCAGTGACCACATGACCATGTTCCTCACTAAAGCATCCTGCAGCCTCCCATCTTCATTCATAAATTTCAGTACAGCATAGAACATACCTCCTAGGATTTTCTGTGGTCTGTCTGCAAATCTGGATATATAGCTCATCCCTAAGTCCAGCTTTGGAATAGCCATAATTACAGATTTCCAGTGCTACACTATTAAGAGTCATCCCAAGTTTGGCTTTACGATCGCTCATATATATCTGTACAAGCTTGAATAATTCACAGGCATCCTTTTTCAAAGCCTTATCTGAAATCACCAACATTGGTTTTCGTATGGGATCCTGCAAATACATTAAAACAACACATGAAATCAATAAAACTATAAAACTGCAATTTAGAAGAATCCAATATCTATTTTAGAAATTATGCATTATTAATGTTATTATAAATATATGAACATATTTTACAGAATGTTTATGAAATACACAGCACCACTTTAGGGTGGTGGTCTGTACACAAAAACAAGAAAAAATGTGTGTAAACATGGGTCCTTAGGTGCTTTGTTTTTGAGCTATAGCTCATCAGATCACCTGATTTAAAACTGCTGGATTCTTATAAGTATTATAAATGCTATGGTAATTAATGATCTCCCAGAACTACAACAGTTGGCAGAAGTTAGAAGTGAGTTAATTCATAACACACATGTAATATTTGAATCCTTAAAAAGATACACAGTAAGGTGTGTGGAATCACAAAAACAACACTTTGAGCATTTTTTGTAATTTATAGTTCCAATAAGAGAAATCAGTAACACTGGAATCAGTTGTGTAAATAGAACAGTTTCCCGAGGACAGGTTCTCATTTTAATTATCCTTATCATTTTAAAATAAAATGGGCTGTAACTCAAAGGCAAGGAATCCAAGGACCCAAGCTTACACACTTTTTTTTTTGGCACAGAATACTTCCCTAAAGCGGTGTCATGGAGTCAGAAACACCCTGTATGTTTTATTACTCTTCTCTCTACAGAAACCATTACTTCGTCATGAATTCCAAAAAGTTACACCGCTGATTTATGTAAACATGAAAGAGAAAACTGCAAATATAATATAAGAATATGTTAAAATATGGCTCTGAAAAAATTCTACACTGTTTCCTCTTACCTTTGACCATGACAGCATATCGTGCACAGAAAACTTTTTACGAAATATGCCTTTCTTATGGATATTGAGGTTATCTTGGGCATATTTCTCTATGTCACTTTCTGAAGGGAGCTTTTTCTCACGGCTCAGAACTAGATGCGTCGACTGAAATCCATAACAAAATTATAACTGTACATGATGCTTAAGAAACAGCATAGACTGAAACAATCTGGACAGACGTCTATTTCAGAACATACTGTGCCCCAAGGCACTAAGTGTCTACCAGTATAATATGAAGTACAATATTCAAGCACTGACAATAAAACAGTAGTATGCTTGTAATAGCAAACAAACATTAATTTAACATGATCAAAACAATAATAATTATATTTAATCCCAAAGCCATAGCAAATTTAAGAACAGAATTCTAGCAATTACTCATTCCACTAAAGGAGTTTTAATGCTGTTTAGTTAAATAATCACTGTTTATTCTGAGCATTACTGATTGATAAAGCATGTGGTACATACATTACCACATGGCTTTAAAGGGTTAATCATTTTAGTTTTAGAAATTTCTAAATACTTTTAATAACAGAATCACTGTATATCATGCAACTGTGGACAGCTCAAATGATGGAGAGATCACCATTCTAAAAACTTTAGACAGCACCATTAGTGAAGGTACACAAAGAAAGAACAGTAATACCTCGCAATCTCATTAGTAAGTTCTTATTTTATTGTGAGTTATTATTCTTGACTCTACACCCCACGTCTAAAACATAACATACTTTTGCAAGAGCATATGTACACTAAAGTTCATAAAATCACAACAAATTAAAAACACTGTTATGTATGAATTCACAATACTTATAAAACCAAAAAATGAAAACTTGAACAGATAAATGCCATAAATTACATGCATACTGCTAAATATTTTACATAAAAAGATGCTATAAATATAAAAAGAAAGTAAATGTTCATGCAAAAATATTCACAATAATAGCAGTTAATGTCCCAGATAATTTCTAAGAAACCGAATACATACAGTATTTACTCCTAAATATATATAAGATTCCTGTTCAATATTCCTCAATGTACAGTTTAACTTATTTATTACTGCAGTCTACTGTCTGCTTGGAATGCAATAAAGTACTGGAAAAAGAAAATTAGGCTAATGATTCATTTAACTGATAAAGTGTACATATTTTATACTTTTGAGGGTGCAAAGGCACTGTAATTAAAGTACTGTTTTTCTTGTGACCCACATTCAAATATTCTGCATGTTCTTACTATAAACAGGTTGTTCTAGTGTGTATGCTATCTTGTCAATGATCCAGGAAGTTACCACTGGCAGTAACACATTCTAACAAGAATATGGCGCAAATTATCAATAAAAATATCCCTCTGTTCAGAATTTAAGTTAATATATGAAATTTAAATGGAAGGATAACTTTTGAATTACCCCATACACTGTCCAAAATGTTGTACGTATTGAATGGCAGGATA